AGAAATCAACATACCCCGGAGAGTCGGTTTTAAAGCGTCCCATCTAATTACATCTATTGTGTCCTCCTGTTTATTTTCCTTGAAGTATTGTTTTATGCCTTTTTCTATGTCTTCTCGGATTAGTGGGTCTGTCAATAAAAAATTATTTAAAGACCATTGTCTGCATCTCTGAGTGGGGTCATATGGGGTAATAATGCACTGAACTCTGGAATGATCAGACCACTGTGCCGATTCAATAGATGCAGCCAATACTCTTTTCTGCAAAGTCGAAGAGACCAAAATAAAATCGATTCTAGAGTAGCATTGGTGTCTATTGGAGAAATACGTGAAGTCTTTAACGGTAGGGTTCATTTTGCGCCAGATATCTGTCAAATCGTTTTCCTTGAAAAGGTCCTCAAGACCGGTAAATCTACCTTTATTCTGTTTTGGATTGGGGTGAAAGCTTGATTTGTCCATTTGTTTATCCGCAACCAAATTGAAATCCCCTCCAAGAATTACTTCCCCTTTGGTGAATTTCTGCAACCGATTAAGGGTGTCTTTTGAGAATTTTAGTTGTCCATTATTTGGAGCGTATAGGGTGGCCATTGTATACAGCCTGCCTTCTAAGGTACCTGAATGAAGAGAAATCTCCCATCCGGGTCATTTAGTTGGGAAAGAAAGGTGAATCTCACATTTTTGGAAAGTAGAATCGCCACTCCCCTTGACTTGGAGGAACCATGCGACATATACTGAAGTGGGCATTTTTTAGATTTAAACACTAGTTCGGTTCCTTTCTTTAGATGAGTTTCCTGAAGAAACACTACATCTGCCTGACATTTAGACAATTGGGAAATAATTTGTTTTCGTTTGATTGGATTGTTTAGGTCTCTAACATTTGACGAGACCGCTTTCAGCACATTAGAATTCATGCTGGAGCCCTGTTGTAGAAGAGATCTTAGCGTAATGGTGAGATGTAACTACTGATTAAACCAGATGTATTAGTTCTAGATGTGAATTTGCCTTTGGAAATAAAATATTAGAGGTAACGCAGCTTACCCAACTTTTCTCTCTCCGAGTAGTCCCAGCGCCACACAAACAATGAGTATTGTAAAAACTAAAAAATAAAGAAGAAATGCAACCAGAGACAAATTAAATAAATATAATAAGTCAAGACACACACAAAGTTAAAATCGTAATAACACTGTTCAGTATCCGAACAGAAGCCTTAGCCTTTTATCTCAACTTGCATTAGAATAACCAGGTGACAATACACGGAACAATACCTGGGTAGTTTATAGCACTATTAATTGTCTTTTCCTTCAGTCTGTAACAAATCAATCAATTAATCAACAGCAATCACGCAATAATGAAATCCATTAAATTCTTAAAAATATAAGTGAAACAGATATGAATATAAAAATGTCCCTGTCAATATGAGGTTATATCCCCCTATTAGGTGTTGAGTCTGTTTGTAGTTTAAGGAAATAATGATCTACAAGATTTAGAGACGGTACTTCGTAGGAAGGAAAAGTGTAAATTAATTGGGTCTGATAGTACGAATCTGTATAATTAATAAGCGCCCAAACGTATAAAGTGAGGGCTGTTCTACCTAATAGTATATTACCAACTTTAGAATCAATTTGAATTAGCAATATAAAATATGAATAAAATATGAATGCACACACTAAAATTAGCTGTAAAATAAACAGCTATTAGATTGCCAACAAAAATGGATGCAGGAAAAGTTTCCTTGACTTCTGTTCCTCTCACAAGAGACACAGAAGGCTAGGCACCCAACCCCCTAGCAGTCTTCAAAGGAAACACACCTCCTCAGGGCTAGAAACAATTGCTCCCATTCCGAGCCCTCCCCCCCCTTCTTACCCTTCAAACAAAGCTTATGTATGACCTAAAAACAGAATGAAACAAACACAATAACCATACAAATCTAATTAAACTGACTTAAGAGAGAAGCTTGTTATGACCTGCAATGACGACCCCTCTTTGCAATGGTACTTCTGTTAATGAGTGCCATGCCAAAAAAATACAAAGAACCTTCCGGATCCGTTAAAACAAGATCCGATTTTACAAGTAATTGACAACGTATAACATGGTAAAAAACACGATTAGTGACGCATAACCTAGAACTTAGAGAGAAACAATAGCATGAAGTCTTCGTGTCACATCATAAACCTTCGTAACTCAGAGAACTGCGGCTTCTTAGCTTTGCCTGGCATAGTCACATATCGGAGCTCTCGCTTGTTGTTTGATTTCGGTCGGTGGCGGTGACTCTGATTCCAGTTTTCTCTTATGGGGCTTGTTGGAGACATCCATGGGCTCGTCTAAATTCATGATATGGAGTAGAGATTTTCTGTCCTCCATTGATGAGATTCGATAAGTCTTGCCCATGTGTACCGTCTGTAGTATCAGTGGCGAAATCCACTTGTACTTCTTGTTGGCTTCCAGGAGCTTCGATGTGAGAGGTTTAAGCTCTCTGCGTTTTTCTATAGCCTCCTGAGGAAGATCCTGGTAAATCTCTATCCTTCTTCCATTGAACAGCAAATGCCCTCTTTGCCTGGCCATTTGCATTATTTTGTGTTTATATCTCACATCTAACACAGTTATTAGAATGTCTCTAAAGTTTTTTTTCCTGAGCGTTGCCATGGAGCCCAATCTGTAGGCTTTCGTCACCGTCTTTAAAATGTCACCTTCCACATTAATTTCACGGGAAAGCCAAGTAGCCAGGAAATAGGCTAGATCTTCAGACCCCTCTGCTTTTTCCTCTATCCCTCGAAGCTTCAAGTTATGCTCTCTCATTGATAAATCAAGCCTTAGTGTGCACTCCGCCAGAGCGTCCTCTCCGATATTGAGAGTCTGTATGGCGTTCTGATTCAGTATACTATTATTTAAAGCACTCTCTGCAACTTCTCTAGTATCTGAGATATTCTTCTGCATATTATCTAGCTGGTCATATAAAGGTTTCAGCATTAATGAAATATTGTCCAGCATCGTTTTTTCTAGTTTGCCAAGTGCCGCAGTTAAGGTCTCAGTAAGAACTGAGAGTGTAACAGTCTCGTTATGGACGTCTTTTCCTGCGTCTGGGGCTGACGCCACCATTTTTGCTGATATTAAGCGCCGAGGCCCCACAACCAAATGGCTTAATTTAGCACTTTTTTTGGACGATACCTTATCGTTTCTGCACACTTCCGGAAGAGGAGTTAATCGATTATCTTCTCCCATCAAGATCGTGTCGAGACCAGTAGGTCGGACAGTAATATTACTTCAAAAGGGTGGGAGGGCTCTCAGAGCAATTATTTCAGGCGGCCATGTTCCTTACGGCGTCGCCACGCCCCCCCCCGGCCCTGCCTTGTTTTAATCTCTTTTTCCTTTGAGTTGCATATCTATCTCTCCTTTGACACTTCATTTTCAGAAAAACAGTTTTTGATTTGTTAAATGTGAGCATGATCCTAAAAAATGAAATAGTCAAGAGTCCTGGCATTTTTAAATGTCCAATATTCAGAATGCAGATCAGTTCCTTGAAATGGGGGAATTATTCTCTCCCACCACCACCACCCCATCCTTGATCTTTGAGCCTTTATGATACACTACCATTTCAATAATGTTAATAGTAACACAAGAGTAGATATATTAGTAGATCTTCAGAATTCTTGTGAAGAACGCTAGATGGCTTATAAGTATCTCATGGACTCCATGCTGCTCAGTACACATTGCAGTGTATTCAGAACAAATACTTATAAATGCATATAGTTTGATAGACTTAGGGTATATTTTAGTGCAGGCCTTGACAAAAAAAATTTTGCTTTATAAGCCACCTCAAAAATTTAGGAGCCAGACTTCTTTTTCAGCTGTCAGGATTTTATATTTTAATAACATACTTTATTGCTACCACAAAACCCAGTTCTAAACTCTTCACGTTTTTGTCAGTTTTTAAAAAGCTATAACAAAAGTGTTGTAGTGCAGAAATAAATTGGAGTAATGCTGTTGTAACAACAAAAAGCTAACCTCTGCCCCTCACCTAAATGAACTTTGTACTTCTATTGAGAATCACCAAGAGGCGCTTAAAATAAATTACTTCTGAAAATATTAGCACCACAATGAAATTTCTAGATGCCATGGCACCCTGTTGCCTGGGATTTGTCAAGCCCTGTTTTAGTGTAATATTTGTTCAGTTATTTGTTTCTCGAGCAATTAGTCAAGCTAATAAAAACATACTTTGCAAAGTAAGAAATGTTTACATTCTGGGAATGCTACACTAAGATTGAATTTTTGAAACTGAAATGCTGGGAATTTGATTGTACCAATAGACTTAATTCCACATGTTGCTCTTCTTCCCTGTCTTCATAAATGCTTGAAATACATGTTCTTTTACAATACAGGACAGTGTATTTTTGACAAATTATGTCCCAAGGTTGCACTGATCTTTGCTGTTGTAATATGATCTGTTGCACTGTACATATAGTATAGGCCATTGCAACACAAAGCTTGTTCAGCAGAACGAGCACTCTAGTAGAAATATTTGCTGTTGCGGAGTTGTGCAAAGTTGTAGCATCATGCAGAAAAGGGCAATGTAAGGGATGAACAGATGGCTTACCTAATTGGTTGCACCTGCTTCCATCATGTTACTGAAGAAATCTAGTTGTCCAGTCTGAAGCCTTTAACAAGGGTGGCTGGGCATGATGTCAACATAGAGAGGAAGGGAGTCTAACTTGGTAGCACTTTGCCATCTTGGGACTACTTAAAAAGGTTGCACAGTGTTGAAAATTAAATGCTGATAACCATTGGGAGAAATAGAAATAGACCTTTTATGATGTGGCAACAAACACTATATAATCACACTGGATAAAGTTTCATTCTGGATGTCATGGTCTAGAACATGGACCCTATGTTAACATATTGCTTCTTTTTTGAAGTTAAATGCTGTGTTCATATTTCTTTGTAAGCTTACAATGCTTGACCGTGAATGCTTAGTTACCATACTCTGCTCTAAATATTTTTCTCAATAGGTGAAAAATTTTGCTGTTATTTACCTTGTGGATATCACAGAAGTACAAGACTTCAACAAGATGTATGAACTGTACGATCCCTGTACAGTCATGTTTTTCTTCAGGTATATTTTATTCCTACATTTAATTGTAATGTATATGTTCTCCATTGATAAGTTGTGCAAACATTATTATACAATAACACCTCTCTTATTGTACTATACTGTGTTGACTGTAATCAGAATCTGATTCTTTACTCATGCCAGCCATTCTGTTAGGAAGCTGCAGTCTTCAAAACTAAGTGTAAACCTCTGGGCCATTTGTGATATTACAAACAATTTGCATTGCTAGTTCAGGAGTTGATGGCTTTTCTGCAAAGCCTTGTTTTAGTGAGGAAAATCAAGTGAGCCTGTTGAAGTGAACTACAAGAGTTGGGCTACTGGATCCAGTCAGTTGGCTTAAGCGACAGCAATGTTACAGCTGAAGCTGTTGTAGGAGGCAAAACCAGGCCCTGTTCACACGAGAGGTTTTTGGCCGGGAGAGGGACGGATCGGGGCCGCAGCAAACGGGCGCGATCCCACAGCAACATCTGGGAATTGTGCTGCGCCCGTTCCCAATCCGCCCCTCCTGGCCAAACCCCGCATCACTGCCGGCCGTGGGATCGCTGGCGCGTCCCCGGCCCCCGGCTCGAGCATGCGCAGTTTGACAGCCTCCCCCTCCCAATCGTCTCTTCCTCCCCGGCATCTGATCGTGCCGGGGAGCAACGGCGCCGTGGCTCAGGGGATCGTGGGATCCTGCCGCGGCGCCTCTTTTTTGGCCAGTGTTTTCCCTGCCGTGTGGCAGGGGCCCCAGTTGACAGTACCTTAGTTACCAGCGTACCTCCAGCTGTTTTCTTGCTGTCGTTTTTGTGTCAGCCTCTTTTGCTCTTGCAGGCCAGAAAAGATGCTATGCAGGAGAGTTTAGGAGGAATGATGCCTCTCCCTGAATGTAAAGTCTTTTATTAGGTACAGCTGTTTCTGGGCAACAACTAGGTAATACAGTGCTCCTGGGGATGGGCTGTCTCTTCATGCAAACAGTTGAATTATTTACATATGGTCTTATGAGCCACTGCCTTGGAGTTGCAGCTCCTAAAATAGGTTGGAAAGCTGTCAAAATTGCCGTGTCAGAAATAAATACATGCATATTAGTGGCCTCTTTTTTTACTTCTCAGTTTACTTTATCCAGGCTTTAGAACTTTTAGATTAAATGTTATTCATAAGAAATCTGAAATGGCAAAATCTGCTAGTTATTTTTGTTTGTTTTTATATTTGGGTGTGAAATTATATGGAAATAATATTAGAACAGATTTCTGTTTGATATTTGAATTATTAGTAGCTGTATCTTGGTGTGATGTTCATAATTTGAAACGAATGATGGTTAAACACCGAAGGTTATAATTTTGACTTAAACTGTAATCTGAGGTTTTATTATGCTAGACCTGTAGAAAGGTGATAAGTGGAGAGGGACAATGAATAGAGATACTAGTGACCCAAAATACTGAGTAACTTCATAAAGAAGTAGATCATTCACTGATGTATTTCTCCTCTTTTCTTTTCTTAAAGAAACAAACACATAATGATTGATTTAGGCACAGGCAACAACAACAAAATTAACTGGGCGATGGAAGACAAGCAAGAGATGATTGACATCATAGAAACAGTTTATAGAGGTGCTCGTAAAGGTAGAGGTCTTGTTGTATCACCCAAAGACTACTCAACCAAATATAGATATTAATGCTTTGGACCTTTATAAAATAAATGTTTGTATATAATGCCTTTGCTTGTTTACATCTTTTAATTGTGAATATGTTTGAAATTACATAAATATTTTCATGGCACAAGTGATGCTGTTAGCTGTTTTATTTCAGAAATAAAGTATCATGTTCATCATGTACACACTGTTACATGTAAAGAGTTTTATATCTCACTAGGAAAAAGGCTCGTTTTGGAAATAAATACAACGGCCTCTAGAAAGAGGCTCTGGGTGGGTGCCCCGGCCTTTGACACTCAGTGTCAATTTGCTGTGGCGACCTCAGCAGGGTATAATGACGCTGAGACCACCATTTTCTCCAGAGGAACTGATCTCTGCTACCTAAGCAACAGTTGTAATTTTGAGTGATCTCCAGCCCTCACCTGGAGATTGGCAACAATGGTTCCCCAGAAGGGAATAGTTGGCTTGGAGGGTGGAGTCTATGGCTTTGTACCTGTCCGAGGTCCCACACCTCCTGAAATCTCACCCTCTCCAGGTTCCATCCCTCACATCTCCAGGAATTTCCCACCTGGAGTTAGCAACCCTATCTCCTTCCCAGCCAATCATCAACCTTCCTTTATTTCCCCCTCACTCTTCAGCTTTCCACCCCCCACACACCTGCAGCCTCTCCCATGCTCTGAAGCCCTGACTGCTACGTCACATTGACTGTCATAACGGGGGCCACCTCAGCAGCATATAAGGATACAGAGTCCACCATTTTCTCCAGGGGAACTGATCTCTGCCATCTGGAAAGCAGTTGTAATTCTGAGTGATCTCCAGCCCTCACCTGGAGATTGGACACATTTTACCTCAAAACAGCAAACTGTTTAGAATGTTAGAGGCAAAAGCCAATCAAGTCGCATATGCAAATGACCTCTGTGTTCCGAGGCAAAGGCCAATGAGGCTGCATATGCAAATAACCTCTGTGTTCTGACTGGCTATGGGGGGGAGAGGAACAGCAAAATGTTTAGAATGTTGGAGGCAGGACTCAGGCAAAGCAGCCAGTGGATAGGGAGACCCTATGAATGACAGATCACTGATTTTGGAGCGTGTGGAATGTTCTAGAGAAGTGCCACCACCATTCGGCTTTTATTTATGGGAGATTTTCCACCCAGAATGATACAGGTAATTTTGATCACTGTTGGTAACATGAACTTTGGTGAGCTGTGACATAACAGTAACATGACAATAGTATATTTGAATAGAGTATAAAAAAATATCTACTAGATTTGTGGATTCATAAATCCATGTATTGGAGAAAAGCCAGATCTTTCTACAAACCTGTGAAGACATTCAGGTTTATGGAAAAATCCTAAAAGTTAGAAACTGTGTGTGTGTATGAAATGTCTCCTTCCACATAGCTAGTCCAGAGCAAGCCAACCCAGTGAGCAGAACTGGGTGATGGGGATGCTCAGAAATGGAACCAGGTGTAATGGAGTAAACAGGAAAGGATAGTGGAATAATGGAGTCCCTGACTGGAATGCAATGCAAAGGGGTTGCTCATGTTAAGACAGAGCAGTCTGTGTTGTGGGGCTGGAGAAGTAAAGACAAGGAAACAGAAAGGATGTTTAAGGACTAAGTAGGGGGTAGTAGGGAGATTGGAATAATACTTTACCCGTCTTGCTGTCAGATCTAGTATGGAATGATGGATGAGGACTGGCAGATGGTTAGGTAGAAGTCATCTATAGAACTCAGAGGGCTCAGGGAACCATTCTTACTGATCTTGGTTTCCCTTGGGATGAATGGGGAAGATTCACTCTTGGCTACATCTTGAAGTTCCTTTTGTCATTAGTCCAGACTTTTGGGCCCTACCAGTCACTGGTACGCAATAGAGTGAATTCTGATTGGTGTAACAGGATCAGGGTACCCCAACAGCCTTACCCTGATAATTTTAGCCTGCAACAGGGGTATTTGAATATGAATTAAAAGTGCACTGTAGGTCAGAAGTGGGGCAGGTCAGAAGTTCTTGGACGAGTGTATTTCTCATACTCCTGATATAAAAAATCTGAAGGTTATCTGGTTCCACTTGGGTTAAAAATTTGAATTGAGGTGTACTCATAGTTGCTATAAATGGGGGGCACTTGCGTCCCCTAACATTCTGTATAGGGGAGCATAGTACTGCATTTCTTTTCCTCTTTCACGGTGCCTTACATGTTCTGCATGTTAGTGTTCTGTGCTGTACAATTGGGGGTTATCTGGATCTAGTCTTTCCCCATGTTCTCACATAGTCTGTTCTTGATAGAATTGGTGCTGCATGTGAAACAGTCTGGGAAAAGAGCAGATTATGGAATGATTCATGGTGGGAAGGGTGCAGTGTGCATAACAACCACAGCATTCACTCCACAAAGCAGCACTGAAATGAAAGCAATGTGGAGGAGGGGAGGTTATATTTACCCTAGATTCCAATTCTACCCTGATCTTGGTGGGTACAGTGATTGCAGAATTAATCTGTTAACTGTTCCTCAATATGTTTAGTTGTAAGTCACACTGGCTTCAATAAAACTTCATTCCAGTCTGTTTAGGTGTGCTGAAACAGCTTCAGATGTTTCAGTTCCTTCATATCATTCTTTGTAAGGTACAATGGTTTATCTCTTTTTGCCCCTCTGAAATTCAGTGCAATCTAGCCTGGCTCCATATCTTTGCTTGGTTCCATCTCTTTGGGAAATAATTCAGCAGCTATTGTAACCAGAATGTCATTTTAAAAATGTCTTTCACAAGAAGAATGAAACACCCTATTGAATTGCTAATTGGAGCGGAGAAACCAAATAGGTTTAGCATACATATAAACAAGCACACCTTCCTGAGATAATTTAAAAGTAATTAAGGATTCTGTGCTATCATAAGCATGTAGTTTAGTTCCTGTGATTTTAAAAACCAGCCATTTTCTTTTTATGAAGTTACAATAGTACTTGCAAATAGGTACAGCACTATTACCATAATCAAAGGTGGTTACAAATAAATATTGACTTGTGTTCATATTTACCTTATTCCTACATAGTTCTGTTTTTCTTCTGTCATTTCCATCACCTGCCTTTTTTTAAAGCAGAGGGTACATCTTTTGACATGACCCAAATCTCCTATAAGTTATACGTTAGTAAATTAATTTATGTAGTTTTGTGGCAAGGAACAACTAGTGCTATCTTAAGAATTGCACCATTCGTGTGCTGTGGATAGAGTTCGGACCACACAATTTAATACAAGGACTATATTAGCTAATTAGCAGCTAATCAGTTACTGTGGAAAGCCTAGAGGAGTGCAAACTTCACTGTGGTTCAGTAGTAAAGAACTTGCTTTGCATACAGAAGGTCCCAGGTTCAATCTCTAACAGTGCCAGTTAAAAGGAATGGGTACTTAGTGATGTGAAAGACTGGAATCCCAGAAAGCTGCTGCCAGTCAGAGTAGACAGCAGAGTGTGACAAATCAGTGGTCTGACTTGTTATAAGGCATGTTCATGTGCCCATGCTGTGTTCATGGATAAAATACTATAGAACTAGCAAATGAGAAAGGATTACAAGTTTATTCACACTATAAAGAGTCAGTTTGGAATTGAAACCTAGTTTTCAATCTTGTGCAAATTTGTTGGATGAGAATTTTTCCTTCAGTGCAAGAATAAACTCTGGAGCTCTTCATAGCTTTTTCTACTGCAGCTACTACTGTGTGCAAAGGTAGCTTATTCATCCATCTGTGGCAGACTGTTTTAAAAAATAAATTTGTAGTAAATTCTGTATAATTGGAGAACCTATTTACAGACTGCAAGTTTGAATAGTATATGATTTTTTCACCGTCTTGATGTCTTCAGGGCTGTGCCAAAACAAGAACAATGGAACTGAATTAATATTGGGAAAGAAAAACAAGGACTACTTCAGCATCTAATTAGGTTTTCATAGGTTACACCCCAACATTTTCATTCAGTTGGAATGGGAAAAACAGAGCCACATTTTCATTAATAAACATACTGTCCTTGTTCTACAAACAGGCTAGCTGTCTTTCAGTCAGTCAGATGCTAACTGATTACTTTTATATTATCAAAGGGGCAGGAGCTTTGGGTGCACCTTGAAACTTGTTTTGTACACATCAATCGTTTATGTTGTTTACATATATTCATTTATTTTATTTAAAGTCAGCCTTTCTCATGGACACTCAAGGTTGATTACAGAGTGTAAGTCAATATGATCAACAGGATGGGACGTCCAGCAAATAATGCAATAGGTTTTGGGTTGCAGAAATCTGAAAACAAGTAGAAACCCAATTAAGGCTGCAATCCTATGCACACTTAATACACCCTCATTATACTCATTTGGAATGACTTCCAAATAAGCATGCAAATAACTGCACTGCGTGTCTGGAATGCAGTATGTATTGCAGTTTGACAGTTTGCCAAACTGCAGACTATAAGCTATTTCATGTCCTCAAGTTTCTTTCTTTCTTCCCTTCCTCTTTTTTCTTCTTAGAGTTCTAGGAAGCTTGCAAGTTTGCTCAGTTTTTATAATGTTTTGTTACATTCTAATAAACAGTTATTCTGGTTGGCTTGAGTTGGCTATGCTATCAGTTTTATACTAAAAACTACAGTGCCATGGAAAGGGCAGGAAGTTTCCTCTCAAGTTCTTATCCTCAACTGGCCTCTATTCTGGTACTCCTAATATTTTTATCTGAAGATACAGGTAATTACTGTATTAAATACAAGATTTAAAAACTTTTTGGCGGATTTTTAAAAGGGAGGATCGTCTTAAATTTGGAAAGAAACACTCTGCAGTTGCAGAGAGGGGCAAAAGGGCATGCAGCTTGGTCTCACAGGTTGGAAATACTCCTGGTGCACTTTCCTTAACATCTGGCTTGGTGAAGAAGTGCAGAGGGAGAGAAAGGCCAGCCTCTATTAGCTGGGGGAGGGGAGCTGGGAACTGCCCATGTGTCTGAGTTGGGGGGCAACACGCACTCTTTGCTCAGTCAGAAAGTACAGAGAAGAAAGGCCAGCCTCTCTTCCTTTGCACTTTCTGGCTCTGGATCAACTAGGCCAGTAGAGTTGCAGAGGCAATCCAGGCTGCTGGGGCAACAAAGCCCACCAAAGCTTGGGTTGGGGGCCAGG